CACGACTTTCAACTATTTTGTTAGAAATTTTTTTCCCAGAGTGCATATGGTTTTCAAAATTTTCAAATGCAACGCGCAAGTACTTAGAGTTATCATATTCGAATAAAATTTTGCACAGCTTATTTTTAGACCAAAACACATTATTTTCCGCCCGGCAAACCAAATTTTAATTTTAACGAACGGTCTATTGGACCTACACTTTGAAGGTGCTCCTGGCGTTGAAGGTGCTGAGGGCGGAAGGTACTCACGGTGCTCCTGGCGATGAAGGAGCTGAGGGTAGAAGGTACTGGTGGTGCTCCTGGCGATGAAGAAGCTGAGTGCAGAAGGTTCTAATGGTGCTCCTGGCGATGAAGATGCAAGCGTTGAAGGTGCTGATAGTGAATCTGTAAACAAGCAAAAATATCAATTAAAATTTATAAACATATAAAAAGTCTCAATACATACCTTAAGAATGTGACTAAGTCCTGCTGTTTTGCAATCTAAAATAAGAAATTACATTATAATTAAATAAAATTGTTAAATACGTATTCTTACCTTCAAAATTTTCGTAGTGACATTTCTTCACAGTATGTATACTGTCATCAAAACTCTGATGTTTCTAACTTGCTCGCTCTAACGCATAGAATTCTTGTTAGAGTACGAATTCTTATCGGGTATGTAGCTCTAACAAAGGGACATTTTTTGACAGTTCGAACAAAAAATTTGTAAGTGTGTGGGTGAGATGACTAAAAAGTTGTGAATGTGTTAGTAAATCGTTTGAATTTTAGGGGAAAGAGGTGAGCCGTGGCTGGCAGGAATTTCAATTATAAGAATTGTAGCAGGCTGCGCTGTCAGTTAAAAATATTCACTTTTTCCTCTTATGATAAAAGCTGAGAAATACATTTATCGCGTGAATTGTAGATACGGTAAGTACATTCATATGTATATTGGTATTATGGTATTTTATGTAAATTTCGCATCACAATCTTATTTGCAGCACATATTGTTTCTGGCTACCCTGTCAGAAAAATATTCGGAGATTCCTTTTGTGAGAACTGCTAAGCAATACATTTATTACGAGTATTATTTGTATGGTAAGCATATTGGTGTTTGGTATTATGGTATTTTTGGTGATTTTCAATTCAACATTTCATTTACAGAAAATTTTTCCATTAAATATACTGACATATTGGCTGCGTTTCTTTATACATTCCGGATAATCCCATTTCACAGCCAGAATAAACAGAATGCGTTTGAAATATACGTCAACATATCATCAGGAACGTTCTAAAGAATAAATAAACAAAAAAGTGTATTCCAAACGTTCAGAATGAATAAAGAAATGCAGCCATTGCGTTTATCTCGTAAAGTCTACATAAAATCGGTAACCTTATAATTTCAAAAAGTTATTTTGTTGATCGTAATGACCATTTTTACTACTATAGGATTCAATTTAATATAATTACGCATAAAAATGCCTAGAAAAAAGTGTATGGGAGTGTCAGCTGATCGCAAAAAACGTAATTGCCTTCCAATAAACCAAGGTATGCAACAACGGCAGATCTATTTGCAACGAGCTAGGGAATGTAAGCGGAACCAAAGGCAGAAACAACGGACCGAAGAAAGGCAAAAATTCACTCCCCAATTTAGTAGTGTTTTGGTGTCATCATATTTTCAGCGATTAAGGGAAGATGTAAGTGCAAGGACGTATGGCGGTGCACGACTCTTCCTTATAGACGATGAGATAGAATCAAATTGTGCTGAACGCATGGTGAAGATATGTGAGTTTTGCTCAGCTAAACTTTATCCAGGCGAGGCAGCTGATAATACTGCATCCATCTGTTGCCACAAGAGCAAGGTCAGTTTACCACCAATTTCTGTCCGCGATGAGCTGAAAGCGCAATGATGACATCACAAAAAACTATTTGGAGAATATCCGTAATTTAACAACGGTCTTGCGTTTGCTTCAGTGCAGGTGAACTTTGCCAATATTCCGGGTAGAGGACCATTTTGTTTTAAACTAGAGTACGACGATTCTCAGATATAATTTTTTCTGTTAAAGAAACATTTAATCAAAAAGTTAATTCTGAATATATTTTCTCCTCCAATATTGTATACAAAGAAAGTGACACCATGTTTCCCTGAACTCATGACACTCATATATCAGTCAGTTTGTAATATGTTTTTATGTATGTACCTAATAAGTATAAATAAGTTCTGATGTACTATAAATCTCATTAATGCTTTGTAATATATGTATAATAAAAATAAGGGGTTTATAAGAATAATTATTTCCACGAACTATTAGAACAGTCTGCTTCTATCTGTGGCTACAAAGAGGGATGAGTTTACTGTGTATTTCTGTCTGCGCAGAATGCGCATGGGCCCGCTTGTGTAAATTAAGACAAATGTTACAGTTTTGCACTCATATATTTTTAATAACTTTTTGACAATTTTCACGAAAAAAAAGGAATTATTAACACAATGTTCAGTATGAATTTGCTTTTATTAGTTCCTGGTTGCAATTTGGCATACCTAATGTGTATTTTTATAAGAATTCTGGAGGTATAGGCTCCCACATATCCTTAGTTTGCTTTCACAGCTCATGTACTCCATTGTACGGACTTGAATACTTAGTAAGCTGCGCTTTTAGTTGATTTCGCGAATTCTCCATGAGATTCATGTCCTCGGATTGTGGAGGTTATTCCAAATTAGCAAATTTTCGCTTTTGTTCCAGTCTTTGCGAACATGTGCAGTGTGTTTTGGTTGCTTTTTCAGCAGAAACTTTAATTTTTTCGACTACATCTTGCAAATTTTGTTGAAATATGAACAGATACTGTTCCTTACGCATAATGCGTATAAACGGGTCAATAACATTTTTGAAATACAACCCCAAACGATTATTGACCGACCACTGTGATCCACAGTTTGCTCACATGATGCGCATGGGTTTAATTTGGGTCTTTGATCCAATACTATGCCCGGCCATCTGACTGAAAGCGATTAATTTAGTCTTGTCAGACCAACTAACCTTCCATTAAATCTTAAAAATGTGTTTTTTTATTGCATTCTGTAAGGGCTAACATATCCCAATAGGCAACGGTCCGGTTTTCGTGCGATCCGGCAAAATGATACCACTCTCGCACATGTATTTTGATCAAAATGGTTTTTTCTTCTTTTATTATGCCTTTGCGCTCAATTTGGCAATTCTTCGCCTCACTGTCTACTGATTTGCATTAAATTTTAATACCTTAAGCGCTTCTGTAATAGTGGCTGCACCGCTACTTGCTGGTAAGTTCTCAAGATATCGGATTGTAATATTTTTTGACAGACTTCCTTTGTCCTTAGTAACACTTTAGGCTATATTTTTTCTCAGTCTTAACATTTTCATATGGCGAGCTCCACAATTTTTTGCCATTTTCCCTACGGTCCCGCCTTTCCGCAGTAAATTTATTATTTATTGGTGATCACTTCTTGAATAAATTACAATACAGAAAAAAGTCATCTGACTTCCCACTAAGTAAAAGATAACTATAAAATGCAAAACTGAGAGTGAGTGCAAAACTGTAACATTTGCCTTAACTTACATTTTTGTCTGCTGGTTTGTTTATTGTTGTTGGATTGACTTCAAATCGTTATGAGAGAGGGAGTAGGGGTGTACCAATAAGAATATACAACAAAAGTATGAAAGTCGCTAGAACTTGGAAAGATAGCGGCGGCTGAAATAAAAAGTGTTACACCATGTTACAGTTTTGCTCGTCACTGTACATGCATATCGTCGTATAAAGTACAGTTACAGAATAAATCCTTATCCATTCGTCCTGAAATATACTATCCAAAAATGCGATTGCTTTATAAATAAGAGAACCATTTTGAAATATGAGTGTTTTTACTCTCTAGAAAATAATTTTTGCAACCTCACATACGCGGTTTTGCCTTTCTGTTGATACGCGGTTTTGTACGTTAAACGACGATATACAGATTATTAAAGACGACCTAAATTACACTGTGTGACAAAAAAAATTTATATAGTTTTTTCGAGGTTCACACTTGTTGTAGGTCTATTCAAGCAGTAAAATCTGGATACTCAGAATTTTAAATACACCTTCAAAATCTGGCTTAAGGTCAAAATCCGCGTTTTTCAAAGGGTGACGCACAGGTATACTTGCTCGCAACTTTATTTCTGTTTACCCGGTGAAAAATACGTATATATGTATGTGATTCAAGATAAGACATTTCGCTTTGCTTAAGAAATGGCAAAGGAATCAGTGATCGGACTCAAAAAAAATTGTGTTGTAGAATCTGGAAAAAATGTGGTAGATTTCAAAAAAATGTGGTAGATCTCAGGTTTTGGATCAAACTTTGTACAAAAATTAAAAAAAAATTGCAAGATTTCACCTAAGTTGCAAACATTTTAATTAGAATCTAAAACAAAATTCATTTTAGTTTAATAAAGTGCAAGATTGAAGTTGATAAAAATTGCATTGAGTTTTGGCAATTTCTTCCTTGACAGTTTCGAACATATTTTGAAAGATTTCTGCAACCTTGCGGAGTGCTGCCAGCTTTTCTTTTTATCACATCACGATGTAGCGAACAAATGTGGCTCGTTCCAGAAATGCTACTTGGGATTTGCCGTTTTGACAATTCTCAAGTAAAAGTAAACAACGCTTTAGAAATTTTAGATGCAATGAAATTTGCTAATCCTTTCACAAAAATCGCCGGTTTTTATCATTTTCGCTATTAATTCTTTTTATAAATCATATATTTTGCAATTTAACACAATAAAACCACGTTTGATGTCGAAAAATTTAATATTGAGAAAATTTAATATTTTACGGTTTATTTTATCCTCCCATTCTGCCTGTTGTTAGTGTTTAGTGTTGGACAATGTTTGCTCTTAAAATTAAGAAAATTGTGTTGAGCAAAAATAAAACTACTAAAAAACGCGAATATGTGGTAGACTTCATACATACATAGGGTGGCCATTCTCAAGACAAATTACCATTTATAAATGGTTGTAAACAACGAAATGTTTTCTCTTAAATGGCATATGTAAGTATTTTTCATCGGGCAAACAGAAATAAAGTTACGAGCAAGTATATGCTTCAACCTATGAAAAATGCGTTTTTTAGCCCAGATTTTGAGGGTGTATTCAAAATTCTGAGTACCTGTGCGTATATATTATTTTTGTTTATTTCACTTCAAATCTCACGAAATCATAAATGCAAAAGTATGGTTGACACCGGATCAGCTGTTTAAGTATTTATGACCAAATGGTTAAATCGTGTGAATGAATGTGGACAATATTTGTCACTTTACTGCTGTGCGCAAATGTGTGCCAAATCATTTGGATCTTTGGCAGCCAAATCGTCTGATCGAAAGACAAATCATTTGTACATCGCTATCCAAATGCGCAAATGTGGACAAATCTAAATTTGGCATTTTGTGTACAAATGTACAAATCGTGTGATCCCTGCTTAAGGCGACTATGAATAGCTTTAGTTGTGACTTAGAATAGTTTAGACTTAGTTGAGTACTAAATATGACTATGAATATGCGCCATGCTGACTAAATTTAACATTAAGTTTATAACTAATACTAGTCTGATCTTCACCCTACCATCACCAACTACAACTAATTTAGTATTTAAATTCCAAATAGACCTTATCCTTAGCCGAAGATGTTTAACTTTTGTTTTACTATTATTATTAAATATATTTCTTCTTCGGTTGCTGTAGCTAATGTGTTCTAACTAACAGAATTTACCTTAATAACTCAAAATACTTAATATGATAGTGGGAGGTGTCCCATGAATTTACTGTACCTATGCAGCTTCTCCTACGGATCATCATCATGTGGTGGAAAATAGGCAATGAACATAATAAATATGTAATTGACAAAAATAACTTGAAGAGAGACTTATACAGTTGACAAACGGGCTCGATTATTTGCATAAACAGCCTTTATTTGCCTTGACTCATGCATTTTTCTCTTTAAAATGCGGATAAGCAGCCGAACAAATGCACGAAATTTTTGGGGATTAACTCGGATCCGGGCAGTTTTCGTTAACAACACTGGTAAAAATGGCCAGCTGTTGTCTTTTGTACAAGTAAGCAAACAAAGCGCGCGAGTTCCGCGTCCGCGGAGCCGAGTGGTAAGAGTTACGGGCTACAAGCCTGTAGCTGCCAGGTTCGATACTCGGTTGGAGCTATTGCGAAATTTGTTTTTGTTTTTATTATTTATTTTATATTTTTTTTATTTTTTTTATCTATATATTTAATTTTACTTTATTTTGTTTTCATTTGCTGATTTTATATCATATTTTTTATTTTACTATTAGTTAATTTAAATTTTTACAGTTGAATTTTAGTAAAAAGTCAACAACAACAAACTGAAAGCAACTTAAAAAAATATAGAACTTATAAAAAAAGAATGAAAACGAAATAAATTAAAATTCAATTGGCCGTGGGTTTCGAACCCACGACCTTGCGGCTCGTTTATCCACATAACTGCCGTCTGTTAGGTCAAAATTATTATGAGCATATGTGTGCCAGAGCATATGTATATGCATAAGCTTTGCCGTCTATCACAGCTTTTACATTAAACTCCCGCTTCTGCCGACAGGCACTCTTTAGGAAAATGTGCTTTCGATTGCTGAAATTCTCAAAACCGGTTATTTGCCTATTTTCTTCACACGCTCTTGTACTAATTAATTCAGCCCGCGGCATACATACGTATGCACATATACATATATGTGCGTATGGATGAATTTATGAATGTAACAAATTAGGTATGCATACGAATGGAAAACAAAACTAGTATTCAACCAAAAGAATGACGAATTATTAAACTTAATTATGACTTGTTAACAGTGCTGTTAAGCAACATATAAGGTACAGTACTGTTAAGGTCTTTAGCGGTATTCACTTGGGATTGTTTTTTTTTTTTAGTTAATTTGCGAAAGTCTTTAAAATTTGTTAAATGTTTCCCGAATTTTTACATTATTTTTTTCGGTGTTGACTGTAATTGACCCATCTATATGCATGTAGCTTTTAGTTTCCTTTTTGCCTATCCGTATATGTAGGTCTATACGTTTTAAAGGAGCGCCCTCTTTTCACATACATTAAGGCAGTATTACTATTTTTTTTTTGTACTTCTTTTAGTATAGTTTAAGGTAGTTTTAAGATTAGGTTTACGATTTTCTTTATGTAATTAGATTTAAGCTATTCTATGCAGTGTTTGTTTCCGTATTTGGCACTACGTTTTCTGTCTTCTTCACAGGCTGGACTTATTGCCTGGTAAGAGGGAACGTTCGCGTTCTTATAGTAGGTTGATTGATTCAATATTCCCAGTTTCACAAACAACATTAGGTTGTTTCCTTGCGCATACCCGCAACTTTGATGATGATGATGCTGAGAAAATAGGTGGTTGATGGGCTCAGCCGTGCCCCCCACCACTATGTACCCTCAAAAATCACCGAGCTGGAATCGTTGGTGTGAGTTTTTTTTCTTTTTGCTTTTGAAGAAAATACTCCTATTTCGCTTTATATTTTAGTTCACTAACAAGATCTAAATAAAATAAGCAAAAGTAGATAGGTGTCAGCATGTGGCCAACAGCACACGTGTTTAAGTAGTATGTTACGCACTGTAGAAAATCGGCTACTTGTTTATTATTACTAATTTTGATATGCACGTCTCGAAATCAAAAATAGAAAGAAAGAAATATTTGGCGGAAGCCCTATCACCCACAATACTAAAATCCTAGTCTGTTAATCTTTAACAGCGCTCTGTTATGATGACAGTTTGAAATAATCTAGTACTTACGACTGATTTATTAATTTCCTATTAAGGTGATTTAGACTACTCAATTTGTGCACAACGGAAAAAGGAGGTTACTGAATTAATTCCTCACGAAGTTATTAGATATATATATATATATGTAAATTGAAATAATGCTGTATGGCGTTATTTCTTATGGCTTTATGGCACGGCGTCGTCACATGCATCCTTAGCTGACGATTTTTTTGTTTTGAGCGCAATAGCACGTCTTCTTGCCTTGGCACATCCAAAAAATTATTGGCACTGGAATTTTTTCAGTTTTATACAGATTTGAATTAATTTTTACAAAAATAACTGACAACAGCTGTTGCAACTTATTACCGAATCGAAATGAAAACGATTCGAAAACGATTTCGAACTTGTTCGATCGCACTCGGAATTGAAAAGACCACCAAAAAATTAGTTACAATGTGTGTCGTTTCAAGTTGAGTCGAAATGCAGAACAGGGGCGATAATGTGTATACATATTTAGAAGCTGTCAAAATTTGACCTAGCCCCATGGTGAAATAAGCGAAGGTGATGTCAGTACGAACTCACCAAATGGTAGACTCTTAATTGTGGCATGGGAATAAGAAGCTTTGGAAACGCTACTACATAACATTAGTGTAAATGATTTGGATGGGTTATAGTTAGGTATGTGTACATGTATAAATCGAAATTGCAGAGGTGGTCTATTAGCAATATCTCATAACCCAAAATTGCTCATTTTTATCTACAAAGATCCGTGCATTCATTTACTTTTAAGAGTGCAGCACCGTCTATAAGAATCGTTAAAAAACTATAAATGGATTTTTTCGATCCGTGGGTCCGTGTTAACTTTCCGTGTCGCATATAAAAAATGTATATATGTCTAGGCTTGGACCAAATTTATGAATCGATTTGAATAATTATTTATTCTCAAAAATACATTTCTTCTGTTCAAATTGAATTGTAATTTTTGCGAGACTAATTATTTTTGTTGAACTAAGATTTCGCAGAACCAAATTATTTAGTTTATATACATACATGTAAGTACATATCAGCTTCGTATTCGCTCTCTATTACCCATTTTTCTAGCGTGGGAACGCCTTTTGGGCTGTTTGGGATCCCATGGGCTCGTGTGGAACAAACCTATTGTTACGTTTATCCTTGTTTACTTAGGGTTTACACCGGACAATACTGTCATGACAATAGCAATACATGCAGACTCTTTTATTAATACATTCATACTTCTTCAATTGTCTCAATCACTGTCTTGATTATTTTGAAGACAGTAACTCGGACAATGATTTGACGTATGCAGACAACAATTTTGACGTCTTGTGCAAGAAAGAAGAGAAATTCATAACAAAATAACTGTAATAATAAGCGAGACGTTGATGTGTATGTAATTTTGTCCCTTCTTTTTTATTATATAGTGGCTAGCTCAAATAGCTCGCTCAAAATGCGTATTTCTGCAACTTATAATTCAACGTTCACGTTCGGAATTTTGCTCAAAATGAATTGCCTTAACTATTGTCAGGACGCCTACGCCACGGAGACAATTATCAGCGTGTTTGACAACTAATACGTATTTCTTTATTGTCTTGACAGCATTGTCCAATGCATAGGGAATCGATAGCCGATTTGATTGATGACCAACTACTCACAACTGCCGCGGACAGACAAGGTGGGTATTCGAATCCTTGTCCCGGAAGGACGTCTGATGATGGTCAAGTCTTATTCACCAAAATAGCTATCACTTCTACCTCACCTGATTTTAGGTTGCTGTTGTGTTTTCACAATACCAACTCAAACAATTCTTACTTAATTTCTTTTAATTCTACCTAATTTCATAATTTTTTTTTTTTTTCTTTTAATTTATGTTTAGAAATACAATTTATTTTTCCCTTTTAGAACGACGACTGTAAGTTTCATCTAAATCAGTGATTCCCAAAGTAGTCCAGTGGACCCCCTTCTTCAAAATTCAAATAACATAAAAGAAATTCAGATCTTAATTCGACTGAAGCTAACGGTTCTTCTATTAAAACTTATGGTACAAAACTTTTAAAAATTTCATATTAGCGGATATTTCAACACCAATCATTGGCGCTAACTTTATAGAGATTTGGTATATTAGTTGATATTAAAAATAGAGAAATTACTGATTCAACAACAAAATTGAAAATTTCTGGATCATCTGGTTTTTGCGATTCCAATTTCTGAAAATAAGTTTTCTAAACTTTTAAATTATTTTCCTTCAATCACTTGTGAACCAGATTACACTAAACCAGTGCAACACCAAACGGTTCACAGAATCGAAACAAAAAGAGTGCTACCTTTCTCTAAACCTCCTCGTCTTGATCCAATTAAATTTAAAATAGCAAACACAGAATTTGAATTTTTAGTTAAAACAGGTATATGTAGACCTTCACACACTATTACATTGCATCCCCTTTACATTTAGTTCCTAAAAAAGAACCAAATGATTGGAGACCTTGTGGAAATTACAGAAGACTTTATTGCATTACTATTCCAGATCGTTATACGTTACCTCACATTCATGATTTAACTAATGATTTAAAGAACAAACAAATATTTTCAAAAGTTGATCTTGTTTGTGCATATCATCAAATACTGATGGCTGGAGAAGATATACATAAGGATGTTGCGATACCACTGATATAATCTTGGTATCGATACTATGGTTTCGATACCGGGTAAATGGGTATTCGATACTAAGGTGACGATACTATTGATACATATGGGATACATATTTTCTTTCGATACCACTTAGGGCCGGTTGCTCAAAGCCTGGTTGACACTAATCCCTGGTTAAACATCGTTATCGACGTTACCGACACCGTGTTATATGCATGGAGTCGAAAACGTCGATAACGATGTTAACCGATGATTAGTGTTAATCATGCTTTGAGCAACTGGCCCTTAATGTATCATAATAACATCTTTCATACAAACCATATTGTTCCTAGAATTCTATTTAAGTATATTTCCTGTTTAGTGACTCTATGTATCGTTTGCGCGAAATTTTATTTCCTATGCGTATTTGATACTGGTATGGCATCGTACTGTATTCAAACCGTATAAACACAGTACATATACAGTGTAACGACATTGATTGGTTTTTATTTCTTTTTTTCTGCTTTTACGCAGAAAAGTAAAGTATGGAATCATGATACAAATATTTACAGGTAAAACCGCTCGCTCAATTCGTCGGCCATCATTTATTTTTTGAAGTTTGTCTACTTTATAAAATTGAAATTCTTAGAGCAACTCAAATGCCAAATCAAAGTAAAACAAAAAATTAATAGATGAAAATATTCAAAGTTGTGAGATTGAAAATTTGAAAACATTCTTATTATGGTAGCAAACTTCAAATATGTTCAGGCTGCCTCTCAGCGGTTTTACCTTCAACTTTTTGTATCATGGTATGGAATCACATTACCAAGATTGATAAAAGCTCGGTATAGTGCAACGTCTGTTCGATCTGAAATTACTAAAAAAGTCAAAGACAACTAATTAAAAACATAATAATAATAATAGATTGGCGCTTACACATATGTTAGTGTTTGGCCGAACTTCTCCTCCGATTTGTTGCGTGCGCCTTGATGTTGTCACACAAAGCGGAGGGACCTACAGTTTTACGCCGACTCCGAACGGCGATTGGATTTTTATGAGAAGCTGTTTTTCATGGCAGTAATACACTCGGTGGGTTGCCATTGCCTGCCGAAGGACGACCGCTGTTAAGAAAAAACCTTTTTCTATATTTTTTGCGATGTTGCTTTGACCAGGGATTAAAAACAACTTAAAAAAATATAGAATTTATAATTGAATGAATAAAAAAAAAAATTAAATGAATATTGTACTTGCCGTGGGATTCGACCCACGACCTCGCGGCTCGTAAATCCGCATGACTGCCGTCTGTCAAGGCACAAATTTGATCAGATCAGTTGCGCCGTTAATCCGGATCAACGTTGCCGTCTGTTTATGCTTTTAGAGAAGATTCAAAACACTCTTCTGCAGAATTAGTTTATGGACAAACATTAAGATTACCGGGTTAATTAGTTGTAACGAACAGTTATAATGATGAAGTTGATAATACAAATGAAACTCTTTCTAAGCTAAGAAAATATTTATCAAATGTTAGATCGAAGGTTGTACATCACAATGGAGAATACTCTTTGGTCCTATTTGGATACGTTGGAGTACGTTTTTGTTAAAGTTATTCACAAGTCAAATTTGCAATCACCTTATGAAGGACCATTTAAAATTATTTCGAAGAATAACAAAGTCTTCAAAAGTCAACATGGAAATATGATTAAACGGTTTCAATAGATTTACGCAAACCTGCAAATATAATTTCTGGTACAACACAAAACTCTAATTCACTAGCGATGCCAAATTCAAAAAAAAAACATTTAACATTAATTAATTTATCGTTTTACTGGAGGGGGAATAAAAGCAGGGTAATTAAACTGTATGTTTTTACGCTTGTTTACATTCTTGAATTTAAATTTATTGTTCTATGAATTTGTTTGTTATTGGAAAAGACAATTTTTGATTTATTAGGAAATTAACTTTCAACAAGATCAAACAATAAAGAAAAAAAAATAAAAAATAAAATTAAATCTCATATTTTGATAGGTGTATAGTGCTCTTGACGCACTGGTGAACTTACCGTCACCATACGTGGGGAAGCCTTCATGGCCACCTGCAGACTAAAAAGAAACGGATGTTGGTATAACACTGAGTGAGGTGATGCTGAAATCGCCGAAGTCAGATATTTGAGCACTTGTGTCTTTTCAATGCTCCATGGTAGAACGCCACCATTACCTTTGTTGAAGAGATTCCAGAGAGAGAGAGTTCCCTGAGTGGGAATGCTGGTTTAATTCCAGCACTGAGCCCGCACTCGTACATTGTCGATTCTTCACTGAGGGCTCCAAAACTGACTCAGGGTCAGGATCTGAAGTATTTGTCGAAGTTAATGGGGCTAAGCTTCCTTTTTTTCTCTAGGGGAATATGCTTCGGTCTTCCAGGCTGAGGTATTTGCAATCCCCGAAGACATAGACTACGTGGTGGAAAATAGGTGGAGGGGAAGGAGTTAACGTGTCCACAGGTACAGCCAAGCTGCATACCAGGCAACCCTCGATCCGCAACCAGTTATAGCACTCCCCACTTCGACCATCGAAGCCACCATCAGAAACTGGGTGGATACTTCGCTCAGCAATGACTGGGAGCCATGGAGTGGATGCAGGTGGGCAAAACGCATCTTGCCTTCAATCTGAGGAGCTATAGCTAGTTTTTTCCGCTCACTGAGAAGACGGGACTGGTCACTTCACGTGGCACAATCACGTGACTGTGATAGGCGTAAATGACAACTCCATTTGCCCATCCTGCTTTGAAGAGGATGAGAGGGAGGAACACTTCTTGAGCTTCTTGCTTGCTTGTTTGTTTATCATCGATTTATCTAGATTCGGTCTTTTCTTTCTTGTCAGTTGCTGAATTTGAAGTTTGGGGTAAAGGCTTTGCAAATTTGTTGTTTCAAGTTTTGTGTTTTAAAATGCGAGTGACGAATATTTTTCGCATCACTTTAAAACTCTGAGCGATAAAAATAAAAATGATGATATCAACACAATTGACAAATACATCACATGCAAATTCATGAATGAGCCGAACATGTGAGGAGTTTATTTAGTGCTCTTAAAAAATATAACTCCTCAGACCGAGATAGTTCTTTCATGGCTTTACGAGGGGGTTTACGAGAAAAATAAGTTTGGGAACCTCTGATCTAAATCATCAGGTTTCACGCTCCAGCAACATTCCGCGAGCATTAAATCTTAGGTTAGGTTAAGTTGATGTGGCAGTCGGTTCAAATTACCAACTCACTTAGACCTTTTGAAGGTCCATTGTGGTACCACTGCAGAACACGGGAACCTTGTGAGAACCATTTCGAAGCTCTTAAAAAGCGTAGGATTGGTTTTATTCCTACGCATGATAATTCCGTAGGAGAGCTAAAGAAGGGTATACCTGCCTGCTCTCCTTCTGGTCAGAGCTGGGCAGCTACAGAAGAAGTGCTCTACGGTTTCTTCCTCTTCCTCATCCCTGCAACTTCTACAATATTCGTGGGAGAATATTCCTACTCTCGAAGAGTGCCTGCCCAATAGCCAATGACCGGTAACACGAGCCATGGCCCTTGCAATATCCTCTCTTGAGAGGCTGAGCAACTCTTTCGTCTTTTTCTTATCTATTTGTGACCAAAGTTGCCTGGTTGTTCTACAAGTGCCCTCCTCTAGCCATGACCTGTTGGCCTCTTGGATCATGCTATTTCGAAGTTCTAATTTGCAGGTTGCCAAGGGTATCCCAATAGTGCCTCTGTTGTCACATAGGGGGAGATTGCACGGTGGAGAGAATACAGAAGGTGGCGCCGATGGCAACACCGCTAATCGGCTCTCAGTGAATTTGACAGAATCAGCTGTTTTGCTGACGTCACAGTCGAGATGACAGCAGTAGTGATGTGCTGAGTCAATACTTTTAGGTATCCAATACTCTCGATACTCGGTACCGAAACATTTAGGTTTCGAATAAAAGCGCACATAGGCCAAGCATATGGAAAAAACGGTTCAGGGGAGACTCGCCTATCAAAACCCGAATTTAGGAGCCAATAGAGCTTTTAATACTGATTCAAATGAAAGATGTATATATGTCGGTTTGAAGCCATAAATCAGAGAAACTCTTACTTAATTGAAGCATTTTTGTTCCAGCTGAATCGGACGATATCATTTTTGTAGGCTTTGGGGGCAGATTCTGTAACCAGTTAGCGACAATTTTCGAATCGGTTTTGTTGACGTATGATATGAAATATTTTTACGTCAACAAGTGCGATATGGATCCGATACTTGTCGCTAACTGGTTACAGACTCTCCCCCCTGAAAGGCTTCTCATCCGTCAAAGTATTTTTCTTGAACCTTGGATCGACTAAGGTTAAAACTGATAAAATAATACTTCTCTGTTGCGATAAGTTCAAGTGTTTTAGCCGATATCATATAAATTAGTAATGAAAGTTTTTCCTTAACTTGAAATGCATATAATAGCGAAGGTTTAATGTAAAGAATCAGTATCGGGTACCGATAAGGAAGTGTTGGGTACCGAAACCTTTTTTAAGTATTGGGTACCGACAATTCAGCACATCACTAGACAGCAGTTTTACTTGCCGCTCTCAGTTGTCAACTCTACGGTGACGTCACGCCAAAATTACTCTAACGAATTCTGCTGCAATCGGCGCAATATTGTATTCTATCATTCTTGGGGAGATTGGTACCTTTCCTGGCCAGCTCATCGGCCCTACAATTTTCTTCAATATCTCTGAGTCCCGGAACCCATATGACGCTGACCTTGCTGCGAGACATTCCTGCGCAACCTTCGATCTCTGCATTACCATGTTCATTGATTTAATGGCCGTCTGGCTGTTGGATAAGATATTAATCGTCGTCCTCGTTACGACATGCGTACTAAGGTACACAGCCACCTCCTTTATAGCTAAAACTTCTGCCTGATAAACACTGCAGTGGTCCGGACGGATAGTTCCAGTCCTAGTTCCTTGGAGAAAACTCCGTAGCCAACCCTATTGTCTAGCTTGGATCCATCCGTATAAGAATTCAGTTCCCACCTTCTCCATGGTCTTGGTGTTTGCTATTCTCTTGACGGGATGCTCGTCTTAAAGAGCCTATCGAAAGTTGGTTTAAGGGCGGAGTAGTCCACTTCTTGTTCATGACTACCCAGCGTGTGCAGTATAGAGGCGCGACCGGAACGCCGATCTTTTCATAGCACCATGCTTTCTAGTCTGAGCGCTGAATCGGCGGCCGCGTATTTTCCCACCAGGTTTATTGCGGGCAGATTGGTTACCACCTCTAGCGCTTTGTTTGGGGTGGTCCTTAAGGCACCTAAAATGAATAAAAACGCTGTTCTTTGGACCTTACTCAATAGTTTTAGGTAACTTGCCTTTTGAGTTGCTGGCTACCATACAAGTATTCCATATAATAATATTGGCCTAACCACCGAGGTGTAAAGCCAATATTTAATACGAGGCGTTAGCCCCCACTTGATTCCGACTGCTTGTTTGCAAGAGTATAATACAAAGTTGGCCTTCCTTACTTTTTCTTCTATATTAGATTTCCACGTGAGTTTCCTATCTAATATGAGTCTTAGAGGCGAGAGTATGGGAAGCCTATGTTTCCTTGTACAGAGAATTGCTTCGGTTTTTCGGGGTTTATTCCAAACCCCCTACTCTCTGTCCAATTTCTAAACGTGGCCATGTTAGAGCGCAAAATCTCCATTACGGCATTTGAGTGTTTGCCTTTAACGGCAATTGCCAGGTCGTCAGCATATGCAGAGACGTGGCAGGGAGGGTTACCTTCATCAGAGAGTTTACTGCCATATTCAAGAGAAGAGGAGAGAGAACCCCTCCCTTAGGAGTGCCTCTACCGACCTCTTTGCTTATTGTGGTGTTGCCAGGCTTAGCGGTTTTTTTCCTGCTGGCAAATATAGACTCAATCAGCGTCGCCACGTTGTGATTAACTCCAAACTCTTCTAAGGCAGCCGTTATGGCGCTTGCATTAATGTTGTTGAAGGCGCCTTCTTTATCAACAAAGGCAACCAGGTTCAGGGTTATATCAAAAACTTCCTCTCTACTCTTTGTTATAAAGGTAGGCTCTGAGCCTAAATTCAATACACTAAGTGCTGTTTTATCTAGCTCTATGCTTGCCGCTACCAGATCGTCGTCACTGAGCTGTGGAAGCTGGAAGATGTTTAAGTTGTTCCTTGCTAATATGCAAGCTCGAGTCTTACCTGCATTTTGTGCGGCAATTAGCAAGCCCGCAGATTTTGTAACCGTGTATTCGCGGCTCCTAGATGAGGGTAACGTCAAGTCCATCGGCAGCCAGGCGGACCTCAAGATCCGCAGACGCGTGTTTAGAATCGTGGAGGTTTATCTGGATCAGCTTCATACGAATCCGTCCGCTTTACCTCCACCATTGTGACATCTACGTCCGTCTCCTACTCACCCTCGGTGTCATCGGCGATGAGATCCTCTTCATAAAACAGCGACCCCAAACCTGTTAGCCTCTCCGAGTCGGATGAGCATTGGATGCTGTACAACCCTTCTTCACCACCGCTGCGCATGCCGAACTTGTCGTTCTCATCAATAAGGTCCAAGCGCCGCTGCGGTAGATTCGAATGGTTGCGTCAACAAACCTGAATCTGACTATCCAATCCTTCTGCCCCAAGGGGCAAGCGATTCGGCGCTGAGGAAAAGCAACACCTGCTTTCTGTTCTCTATCGTCTCCGCGATCTTCCCCACCTTCCAATTGTGTGTTGGTAGGTCCTTATTGCAAGATCAAGGGGTCCGCTCTATTTTTTCAGGCTCGGTCGGTTCAGCCGGAATCCAAGCCCGAGTCCTAGGTCTGCTAGGAATCTCTTTCTTGTGGATGGCCTCGAGCTTGGTCCCCGGCCAAACCTCACCTACCTTGCTGACGGCCAACCTGTAGAGCTGGCTCGCAAGCGATGAGCTTTGCTCTACCCTGGTACCATCCGGAATCATGGCAGAGAGGAGGAGGGCAAGGTTTTTCCTCTAAGACCTGGAGGTAGATTTCGGCAACAGCCTCCTCCACCTGCCTCCATTTCTCCTTCAGGATAGTCCCTTCCTCCTCCCCTCTGTCAATGATGGCTAGTACCTCACCGCCTCCCTTAACTACGTCCCTGAAGGAGGGATATTTATGGCCGCCTGTTCTCGGCTTTTGGCGACCCTATCCCCTGCCTGTTCAGCAGATCGTTGCCTCTTTGGAACAGTGCCTGCCGGTTTGCCCAAGCTGGCTACTACTCCCCTCGCCCAATTCAACGACTTGACTTGTTCCTCCGTCAGCCGTTCTGTCGGCAGGACCCTAATTGCCGCCTTCTTGTCGTACTAGGCATGCTTCGAGGGCCCTTGACCTGTGATTCCAACCTTCTTTGAGCTGCTGGATATATCAGCAGCATCCTGCCGGTTTAACCTTGAAGCTGGTGCCGCACCACGCCCTTGGGTTGAGGAGTGTGTGTTTTGGGGTCTAATTTCCTTAGGCGGAGCTGACGTCACAGCTTCAGCCGAGAAACGGTTGGAGACAGGTTTTCCCAGACTCCGTTCGAGGCTGGGCTAGTTTTTAATCTGGGTCCTCAGCCAGGCTGAACATCAGGACCGGTCGTCTAACACCTTGTTCCAAACCAGAGCTTTTTTCAAGAGGTTTGCTCCTCCGTTACCTCCATAGGCCACGATCAAAAACCATTTCCATATAACTAAGCTATTGAGGAGCTTAAGCACATAGCACTGATTTATGATCTTAGCTGGACACCATTCTTACATCGTACAGAACCTAATCTGTAGTGCCCATTACCAGTCGGCACCCTCGTGGAAGGTTCAGCCCGAAGGCTTCGCCGACCAGCATTGAAACTTAATCTTTCCCTTTGTGTCTTGTCTCCATTATCATCATTTCTTCATGTAATTTTTTGCCGTGCTCGTTAGAAACTTCGCCGAGATTGTCAGAAAAAAAGCTCTATATGTTTGTGTAGCATGTGGATTTTTAATAACATTAGTTCAAAAAATGCAGCAAAAGCTGATATTCAATCTTGAACAGTTTCTTTATAGTTTTCCACCTTCTTGTTGCCTAGGAAACCTCTTATTACTAAGCTGATACATTTCCACGCTCTAAGTTCTCGCTCGCTCACTTTTTGTTCCAATACTAAGTCTTTCATATATGCACACATCGTCGTTTAAAGTACAAAATCGCGTATCGTCGTTCTGCAAAACCGTGTAATTGACATATTTTGCCATAGATTGGATTTGCTCACACAAGCTCTTGTGAGTATGAGTGTTTTTGCTCTCTAGAAAATAACTTATGCATCCTCACGTACGCGGTTTTGCATTATCTTGATACGCGGTTTTGTACTTTAAACAACGATATGTATATTGAATAAAATTTGTTTTAAAAATAGAATGAGTACAAATTGCACTAAACACCAATTTTTCGCACTACAGCGACATCTGTATGCTGTCAAATCTCAAAATAAATATTATATTCAGCCCGATTCTGAATAGGAACTCCCTAGGAATTTTTCCTCATTTCTTTCTATCATGAATAAAAATTCACTGAGGATTTTTTCTCTTTCCCTATTCTCCTAGGGAAAATGTATTTCGGAAAAAAGGTATTACGAATATCAAAAAGGAGGAGAATTGATTTCGTTATTCTGGAAGAATTTTCACCGGTATTTTAAAAGGGATCTGCTACAAAAATGTAAGTTAATTACAATTTAAAGGAAATTTGGTGTAATAAAACGTTTAAACCTTGCATTTTAGGTCTAAAACAACAAATAAGAAACAGGTAGAAATCTTAATAAGCCTAATGGAAGCTAGGCCGGACATTGCTCGCGGCTTCCATAACAACAGAGAGAAGGTTTCCCGGTTTTGGCGGAACGCTGAGGTGGAACTAAACTCCGCAGGCTCACCCACAAAAAATGCGACGGAGTGGAAAAAGGTTTGTAAAAGTGATTAAATGTGTACTTTTTGCTTTAAGTTATCGGTTTATTTACTTTTTATGGGTGTGGACCGACCAAAAGAAATATGTGCGTCAAAAGGCGGCGCAAAATTTAAAAGCCAGCAAAGGCACGGGTGGTGGCCCAAACACCCAACTGAAGCTTTCTCCCAATGAGGAAGCCATATATAAACTGATTGGGATGAAGGAAAGTGTTGGAGGCATATCTGCGTCTACATTTGGATTGCCAATTTCAAGTGTGTCCAAGAGCATTGCGGAACCTGAGCTAGACGAGTCTGACCTTATAGAATATTTAGAAGAAGTGGAAATAGAGATACATGAGTCTCAAATAAGTCCACTTGTTACAGTCGATGAGCCATCACCTCCACCACCGCCAGTAAATGTAGCTCCAGAAAAGAGACCTACTGTAAAGGCTGATTCACATACAACTTTCTTTGCTTTGCTTGATAGTTCTTTACTTTGACATATAAAATCGATGTAGGCATATGTATGAGTATGCTCACAAAAAAACGTTTGAAGCAAAGCAAAGCAAAACGAAGCAAAATCTTGGGCAACTCTCAACTTTTGCCCGCTTTGGCAATCAGCTGTCTACATGTATCTTTTCTCGTGCGCTTGCATTTGCATTTAATGACAAAAATAGGGTAAATAGGAATTTTTATTGCTATTATTAATGCATATTATCATATTGCTATCTATTTTACAGATAAAAAAAATATGGAGGAAAAGGAGAACGCAAAAGCTGTCAAAGCGTTTATTGTAGCATACCTTCTGCGTTTCACGCTTTGTTGTCGAAGTTTGAACTGTCAAGCAAAGCGAGGAAAGTTGTATTTGAATGGCCCTTAAAGAAGCCGAAAGCATCCTCCGACCTTCTTGAAGCTGAACTAAAGACTCAGCAAGCCTTACTAGAAACAGTTACTGAAGCAGTTACGAGTTTAACCGAACATCACGAAGAGCAGAAAAGGCACTTCCGAGAAATGGAGAGGCTTAAAGGAGAAGAAATAGCTGAATTGCAGCGGCTCAAAAATGAAGAAATTTCTGAAATGCGGCGGCACAATGACATCATGGAGCACTTACTGAAGATGAAAATGTGTAAAAGTATTTAGTTTTATTATTATTTTTATACAATTTTCTAGTTTTTTGAACACATGTACCTATATATGTATAACTTCATTTAATTATTACTAATCTCTCTCAGAAGTGCCTTTTCTACTCTTCATGATGTTCTGCTACATTCGTTACTGCTACAGTAACTGGTTCTTATAAAGCTTGCTGAATCTTTAGTTCAGCTTCCAGAACGTCGGAGGATGCTTTCGGCTTCTTTCCAGTAGGTTTCCTTTGTGGAGCTACATTTACCGGCGGTGGTGGAGGCGATGGCTCGTCGACTGTAACAAGTGGACTTATTTGAGACTCATGTATCTCTATTTCCACTTCCTTTAAATATTCTATAAAGTCAGACTCGTCTCCCTCAGGTTCTGCAATGCTCTTAGACACACTTGAAGGTGGCAATCCAAAAGTAGACGCAGATATGCCTTCAACACTTTCCTTCATCCCAATCAGTTTATATGTAGCTCTCTCATTGCAAGCAACTTTCTGTTGGGTGTTTGGACTACTACCCGTGGTTTTGCGGGTCGGTCCACACTGAGTAATTGGTTTTGATGCGTACACCTCTGCGTTCCGCCAAAACCGGGAAGCTTACTTTAAAATTTACGTTAGATGAACAGTGGCGCTCACCTAAATAGCACACTTATTTTTTTCAGATTTTCACAATGTTTTACGTGATAAATTTTTTTCGTACATTTTTTATAAAAATATAGTAGATTCCATAACATAAACCATATATGTAAGTCAAAGTTTAAAACTTTGTGCACATTTTGTAGCCCATTATATTTTAGTATAATAATGTGCAGGTTTGAAAATTCTGAAAAATCCCGTTGGTTTTTCCTTTTTTTTGTCGAATGAACAAAACCTGTTTTTATATGGAAAATACGCAACACCTTGTTAAATTTTCCTGAGCTGTGCATAAAGTTTTGAACTTTGACTTATATGGTTTATGTTATAGAATCTACTATATTTTTATAAAAAATTTACGAAAAAAATTTATCACGCAAAACATTTTGAATGTTGTAAAAAGTAAAAGTGTGCTATTTAGGTAGGCGCTACTGTATATAGATATGTAGCGTTCAAACTTTTTTTACTTAGTACATAAATTTAGTTTTTGCCTTGTTTTCTTCTTTTAGTGAATTACAAGAATAGGTATATTTTTTTAGTTATGTACGTTAAAATGTTAAAATAAAAAGACTGTTTTTATGATGTAATCATATTTTAAATGTTTGTATTTTTATTTCTTCTGTTTACCTAACTTCCCTGAAGGAAAGATTGGTCCAATCCTCGAAAAATATAGTCGTAGGTATAGTAGCTTTGTAATTAGACCAAATATAGTCCAAAAATATAAAGCAATTTAATGCAAAACAGGTGACTTGTACTAAAAGTGGTCCGAATGTAATGCATAAGGTATGAGATTTGATCTAAAACTGGTTACAGTGTCATGCAGTAGCGGACAACGTGTACAATTAACGACTTGCTGATATGTAGGCACTTAGTCAACAAATTTTCATGTGCGACGTTGGCATGCAGAGAGAGTATCCGCTTAAAAAATCTTTTTTTTTCCCCCAAAATTGGTTACAATGTAATGCAGAAGCGGACAATTGGTCCGAGCCTAGGACATTCAATGTTAAATGTAAATAGAATTTTACATGTTGTTGGACCAAACTTTGGACTAGTTACAATCACTTGCAGTCTAGTTTGTGGTGTGCTCTAAGTCTATTGCGAGATCCTACAGGGTTTTTATGCTAATTTTGACACGTACTTACATACATGTGTGTATGTATTACTTATGTGTTTGTATGTGTGTACTTATTGTAAGCTAGCGATTTACTGAATATCTGGGTGCTTTAAACGGTCCAAGCGAGTTATTGGGAAAGCAAACGAATTTCACTCAAAGAGCAAGAACGTATCAACCACATATTGCGCTTTAGGACATGGTTACTGTAGAACGTTGTCATCCAACTGTTTCTTTGTATGCTCATAGACTTTTGAGCTTATGACATTTTCTATTGATTGATCTGCCACAGGCATTTGCTTGGCGTTCGTCAATTCCTTCTCCAAATTACTGCACCTACTAGGGCCTTCTCCAGCATATCCAGACGTGAGCGTAATTACAAATCACCAGCCATCAGTAGCGGCATTAGCATAAGAGACTGAAAGAATGGTCCAAAGTTATGCGGTAACATACATAAAAAAATATTCCGACGAATTGAAGTCGGTTAAAAATACATATATTCAAGGTTACTCTAACGCACCTGTTCTTCAGACGTGGCACCTGTGCAGGTGATTCGACCTGATGACCAGATGGACGCAGTCGAATAAGATCTTCGCAGCTGCATTGTCACCATACCGTTCTCGCGACGATACTCCACATCGAGACCCTTGAGAGCAATATCACGCAGATTCAAATGACATCACACTCTGAACGAGCGAACCACGTTGTTGATGACAATGTCAATCTCGGGTTCAACCTCAGGCTCAGTAGTTGCATCTTCTGTGATGAAAGTACCATCGGGCGTGGCAGCGACTGTTGTCGCAGGGAGAGATTTGGTGGGTATATTACGAGAGTGGACAATTACGTGTCTACGTTCCTCTGATTGTCCCTGCTGCTGAGGTTGACGTTGAATTCGGTTTGCGCTTTGTTGTTGTTGCATTTGTTGCTGGGCTGTTGCTGTTTTCGCGGGAATACCGCTGCAGTTTCACCGATAAAGTTGTTGATGTGGAAGTTGTCATAGCTCCACTCTTGTGAACGTGAGTAGGTTGCCAGTAGCTTTTGTGGCAACAATTGTTGATGTGGTAGTTTCGGTACTTATGCTGGACGATGGTTGTTGCTGAATTACGAAAAATAACGTGTTGTAGGCACTGTTGAGACACGGCTAGTTAAAGCAGATGTTACCAGATTGTTGTGTTAGCGGCATACAAATCTGTAAAGAAAAAATTTAAGGTTTAAATACTATTTAAAATTTTTAAGAAATATTTAAGAAATAATAAACACTTTGAAATATCAGCTTTGCCAGCAATATCAGCAATATAACTTTGCAATGTCAGCCAACTGTTAGATATAAACGCAGTTTATGCGATCGAAGTTTAAACTAGCGCACAAAAACTGGCTCTTAGTGCACTCATCTAACACAACTACTGATTCGTCAATTGCTATCACTCACCCCACTAAAATAGTGTCCAATGGCATGGAAAAAAAAGAATGCAAAAATTAACAACGTTTTATATTCTTCAAACTCTCGCTTTAATGCTGCATTTTTTGCCAGGCTTTGTTTAGTATTTAAAGAGCGGATCCTATATTTGTTCTAATCGACTGTGCTACTGCGCTATACTGCCGAGAATCAGTTGGTGTTACATCCGCATCTTCAGGCTCCAACAATTCAAGTTCAATGTCAACATTGGCTTTGAAATGAATGCATATGTTATGCAAAGCACAGCACACATTTGTAATTTTTGCAGCTTTTTCGGCTGTATAGTGCAGTTCCCTTGCGCCAGGAAGACATCGCCAGCGGTTTTTTAGTACACCATTGGTGCGCTCAATAATGTTTCGGAACTTTGAGTGTGCTTGGTTAAACCTCATTTCCCTTGAGCCTTCTTCTGGAGTTCTATGAGGTGTCAATAGCCACGGCTCTAAAGGATACCCTGCGTCCCCTGTTGAAATNACTCATCTAACACAACTACTGATTCGTCAATTGCTATCACTCACCCCACTAAAATAGTGTCCAATGGCATGGAAAAAAAAGAATGCAAAAATTAACAACGTTTTATATTCTTCAAACTCTCGCTTTAATGCTGCATTTTTTGCCAGGCTTTGTTTAGTATTTAAAGAGCGGATCCTATATTTGTTCTAATCGACTGTGCTACTGCGCTATACTGCCGAGAATCAGTTGGTGTTACATCCGCATCTTCAGGCTCCAACAATTCAAGTTCAATGTCAACATTGGCTTTGAAATGAATGCATATGTTATGCAAAGCACAGCACACATTTGTAATTTTTGCAGCTTTTTCGGCTGTATAGTGCAGTTCCCTTGCGCCAGGAAGACATCGCCAGCGGTTTTTTAGTACACCATTGGTGCGCTCAATAATGTTTCGGAACTTTGAGTGTGCTTGGTTAAACCTCATTTCCCTTGAGCCTTCTTCTGGAGTTCTATGAGGTGTCAATAGCCACGGCTCTAAAGGATACCCTGCGTCCCCTGTTGAAATTTTACAAAAGGTGTAATTACGGTCAAGTGTATATTAATATAACAACAATACCTAAAAGCCAGGCATTCCTCGCTCCTTGCAAATATTGCCTCTCAAAATAAACTCGCAATTCGCTGTTGTTCCATATGAAGGAATCGTAGCACGCCCCAGGATGAGAAGCATCAACATAGCGAATCCTTAATTCATTGTCCCATTGTTGTTAATATAGTGCGCTCTTGAGCCATTTTATGAGATAGGACGTTTTCGAACCGGCTGCCGAGATAGGTCGAGCTTCAACTCAGCCGTCGATATCTAAAAAAAGTTCCCATATAGATAAAGGCGGAAACAAGGAGTAACTTACAAGCATAACGTTTAGGCTGTAACTCCCCTTATGGTTGTAAGCGCGTTTTGTGGTGGAGCAATTATTCTTACGTGGGTAGCATCAATACACCCCATAACTCCCGGAATGCCATGTTTAACGTAAAAGGCTCGGGAGATATTCCTGTTTTCCTCCTCGCTTTCGCTCACCTTTATCCACTGCGGGCACAAATGGCGCTCAAAAACAGTCAGCACTTCCGTCAATACTTTACTGAAACTAGATTGCGCCAACGNTTTATGGCATCACGCAATTTTCGTCGTTCGACCCTCTGCGCCATCAACCGTTCTTCCTCTTCCTCTGCCACTAAGCGAAACGCGATGGAATGCATTGTTTTAGTTGTGATGAGCACTTCCAAAACTGACCGTTGTCCTACAAAGGATTAAGCTTTAATTTAGCACTAATGTTTAAATTTCAGGAGCACTAGTTTATTCATAATGCGGCTTCCAAAATTTACAGTAGCAACTGGACTNATCGCCAGCGGTTTTTTAGTACACCATTGGTGCGCTCAATAATGTTTCGGAACTTTGAGTGTGCTTGGTTAAACCTCATTTCCCTTGAGCCTTCTTCTGGAGTTCTATGAGGTGTCAATAGCCACGGCTCTAAAGGATACCCTGCGTCCCCTGTTGAAATTTTACAAAAGGTGTAATTACGGTCAAGTGTATATTAATATAACAACAATACCTAAAAGCCAGGCATTCCTCGCTCCTTGCAAATATTGCCTCTCAAAATAAACTCGCAATTCGCTGTTGTTCCATATGAAGGAATCGTAGCACGCCCCAGGATGAGAAGCATCAACATAGCGAATCCTTAATTCATTGTCCCATTGTTGTTAATATAGTGCGCTCTTGAGCCATTTTATGAGATAGGACGTTTTCGAACCGGCTGCCGAGATAGGTCGAGCTTCAACTCAGCCGTCGATATCTAAAAAAAGTTCCCATATAGATAAAGGCGGAAACAAGGAGTAACTTACAAGCATAACGTTTAGGCTGTAACTCCCCTTATGGTTGTAAGCGCGTTTTGTGGTGGAGCAATTATTCTTACGTGGGTAGCATCAATACACCCCATAACTCCCGGAATGCCATGTTTAACGTAAAAGGCTCGGGAGATATTCCTGTTTTCCTCCTCGCTTTCGCTCACCTTTATCCACTGCGGGCACAAATGGCGCTCAAAAACAGTCAGCACTTCCGTCAATACTTTACTGAAACTAGATTGCGCCAACGACGTCGCAGTCTTTACCCACACCCGTCTGGTACCCACCTTCAGCCAAAAATCTTAAACACGCGCTCAGTTTTGCGATGGGAGATATCGCAAAAGCCTTCTTTGGTGCCTCCGTATTTGCTGTCAATACGTCCAACAAATATTGGAATCCCGGCTTGTTAAGGCGGTAATACTTTTCAAATCTATGTATGTATGTAATTGAGAAAATTCATATGTAATTATTTAAAAATGTATAGAGTAATGCCAAAATCGAGCAATAAAGGGGTAATGACTTGTTCATCCATTTGGACCAATAAGCTAGCAATCAATGGAAGTTTTTAGTTTTTCCAAAAACTGAATTGATTCCTCGCTTAGGGATACATTATTGTAGTACTTGGCGAAAATTTGTAACTTACAAAGATTGCGGCAACTCGAAGGGATTTATGGTATCACGCAATTTTCGTCGTTCGACCCTCTGCGCCATCAACCGTCCTTCCTCTTCCTCTGCCACTAAGCGAAACGCGATGGAATGCATTGTTTTAGTTGTGATGAGCACTTCCAAAACTGACCGTTGTCCTACAAAGGATTAAGCTTTAATTTAGCACTAATGTTTAAATTTCAGGAGCACTAGTTTATTCATAATGCGGCTTCCAAAATTTACAGTAGCAACTGGACTTAGCAAAGGGTACCCTTTGGTATTTGCACACTTATTTTAGTTTATTACATGAAAACGCGCGATTGAAATCAAAATATTTTAACTCACATGTGTAGTTAAAAGACTATACTTTAATTTAGCACTAACATTTAAATTTTCGGAGCACTAGTTTATTAATAAAGCAACTTCCAAAATTCACAGCGGCAACTGGACCTAGCAAAGGGTACCCTTTGGTATTTGCACACTTATTTTAGTTTATTACATGAAAACGCGCGATTGAAATCAAAATATTTCAACTCACATGTGTAGTTAAAAGACTACACTTTAATTCAGCACTAATATATAAATTTCCGAAGCACTAGTTTATTAATAATGTGGCTTCCAAAATTCACAGTGGCAACTGGACTTAGCAAAGGGTACTCTTATCCTATTTGCCCTCTTATTTCGGGTTATTACAAGAAAACGCGCGATCTAAATTAAAATCTTTCAATTTACCCGTGTAGTTAAAAGATTGAGCTTTAATTTAAAACACAGATTTGAAGTTTCCGCGCACTAATTTTTTAACAACTTTAATCTGAAATACTCTTTTATGTGAAACACACTTTTATGTGTAAAACACGCAAATTAAATGCCGGGAGTTGAGCTGTCAAAATAACTGTCAAACAGCTCTTCGAAAGTTCGAATTTCCTGCTCCCAAATTTTCGGGGAAAACGCTGCTCCCTGGTAGTTTCGAATAGGAGCATTTTATTCTCGAGAAAAGTAAAATCCGCGAGAAATGAAGTCCTCGGGAATATTCAGAATTGGGCTGATTATGATTCCTTGACCCCAAAAACGGGTGGGGTTTAGTAGCGCTCCCAACTATTTCGGGCTATTCCGTCCAAAGGGGTGGCCCGATCCAAAAAAAATTCAAAACACACTTGTAGTCAAGGGTCTGTACATAATTCTAAAACCCACTTTTGTAATTTTTGGTCACTAATTTATTTACAAATTGGGTTTGAATATATATATTTTTGTATTCCCCTTCACTTTACACCAGGGTACGAAAATAAACTGTACAAAACAATTCCCATTTGCTCATCGATCATCATATCATTTGTGGTTTTGTACAGTTTTGTACATAGACAGAAACAAATTGTAAGATTCACTGTCATTTTCCCCAACGGGAAACGTTAGATTTTCGTTTGTGACAATTGTACCATAGGGTACGTTTTATATGTATGCAAACGTTTCAATTACGTGAAAAATATTTTTTTCTGTAAATTTTCATATCCAATTCAATTAAAAAATATGTACTACATACATACACATATTTTTCTATGCACGATTCATTTCGTTTGTTGTTTCGTCTGTAACTACTAAACTACTGTAGTGTACTATCGCAAAGTGAACTCAGCCGTTTTGTTTTCGTATTGTATCGAACTGTAGAAGTAATAAACGAAACGAAATAGTAACGTACAATATAGTTTATTTTCGTACACTGCTTTACACTTTACTCGATTAGTTATAACTTTCTTTACGACTTTAATATTAACCAATTAATCACAATTCATTAAATAAAAACACCTTCAAAACCACGCGTCTGACTTTGGTTGCATATGCAAATTAAATGGCGGAGTTCAGCTGTCAAACTCCAAAATATGCAAAAGAATGTGAGACAAAAGAAGATAGGATATAACCCAGTAAGCATTAAAAATATACAAAGGTGTTCTCTGCAAAAGGTGTTCAGCTCCTTTTCTTGGCAAAAAAACAGAAAGGAGAATTCTACTGCCTGAGGGTTATAATCCTTAAGTGCGGCCGAAGGCCGCCTACGCAGAAAGGTGTTCTCTGCAAAAGGTGTTCAGCCCCCCTTCTTTGGCAACACAGAAAGGAGAATTCTACTGCCTGAGGGTTATAATCCCTAAGTGCCGCCGAAGGCCGCCTACGCAGAAAGGTGTTCTCTGCAAAAGGTGTTCAGCCCCCCGTGGATGTGTTCAGGTGTTCAGTTGTTCGAGTTTTGCAGATACCCAGTATCTGGAACATCTCTTGGAACACTGCCGATTCAAAATTTCTTCCCTAGTCAGAGTGCAGCTCTATAGGGACACCGTATCTCGCAACGCAATTGTAGGTGAGTACCTCCGCTACTGTTTTAGCTTCCTGGTTTGGAATCGGGTATACCTCTGGCCATTTGCTAAAGTAGTCCATAACCACAAGGACATATTTGTTTTACAGTGCGCTCATAGGAAATGGACCTGCACCAGAAGTATACTGCTTCATCTGGCCATGACTTCTGGATTTCGGCCGCAATACACTCCGCGCAGTTAGCAATCCACTCTGCGACCGATTGCCAACAACCAACCCAATAGAACCTCTGCTTGATCTTCTCCAGGGTCTTCGTGATTCCCTGGTGCCCTCCACTAGAACCATTTTGGAACCATCTGGTATTCTTACCCTTGCGATTACGATTAGGTTGCGGGAGCACTGGCCATCTTCAATTTCCCATACCCTATGCAAACAGCCAAATATCAACTTTAAGCTGTTTCATTGTGCCCAGTATGCCTTTGCGATTGGGCTCTCCGCTACTATTTGCTCCTTAGTTGCCAGTCTGTCCATCTCCAGTCCATGCTTAAAAAACTCCAGATCTGGAACTTCCTGCTGACACTTTCGTAGCTGTTCCTCCTTCCACTTTTCAGTTGGTGTTATTGTCGTTAGTCGGACGCCAATAACATTCCAGGCTACATGGTCGACGGGACATGGCATCAGTATTTCCGTAGACACTTCCCTTGCGGTGCTCAATAGCGAAGTCATAACTTTGCAGTCTCACCAAGCTAGCTGTCCTTCTGGACTCTTGAATTGTAGTAGCCACTTCAGCGCTGCATGGTCCGTTCGAACTCGGAAACGTTGCCCATAGAGGTACTTGTATAAATATGTGACGTACTCCACCAACGCTAGTAGTTCTCCCCGAGTTACGCAGTAGTTCCTATCTGGTTTTCCAATCGACCGGCTAGAGTAGGCAACTACCTACTCCTGCCCATCAAATACCTGGGACAGTGGGCCTCCTATGGCATAACTACTAGCATCCGTATCCAAAATAAATGTTGCACCTAGAACGGGATACCCTAGCATAGGTGCAGTACATAGCCGTTACTTGAGAGTTTGGAAAGCCTCCTCCTGCTCCTTATTCCACTCGAAGACTCTCTATTTCTTAGTGAGCCCATGACGGCTATTAGCAACGCTGGCGAAATTCGGAAAATCGACGGCAGTAGGTGCATAGCCCAAGACAACTTCGTAGTTCGTGGAAGTGCCTAGGTCTTGGCCTCCGTTGTCACCTTGTGTCCAAAGTAGTTCACCTCCTTCTTGAGCATTGAGCACATTTTCGGACTTAAGGGCTGACTATAATATGAATAAGCAAGCGTATGCAAACGTGCGAATACACGTAAATCCTATTCTGAAACTATAATAAGGGTATTCATCAACCCTTATAAATGCATTGTAAACCGTATAAACTTATAATTGTGTAAACCTTACAAATGAACTGTCAAAATTTGTATGGAAAATCATTTACACATTTCTGGATAAATTTCTCCAGCGATTTCACTGAATAAACTTGATACACTGAAGTCAATGCAACTCTGTCGCAATTCTAGCTATGTTTTCTTGAGCAATAATCGGGATCCGCATAAAAATTTTGCACGCAAATTCAACAACAACGATGTGATCCTGATAGAGAACTGGTTCAATTATTATCCGGTCTGTTTGTTTTGTTTCACTGATAATTTGGCCGCGAATTTTGGTAGCCGTGACAAATGAATTCATACACAAACAGACATTCTGCCATTGTTTCTTTTAACTTGGTTTAAATAAATAGCCTTTATGTTATATGTATATTTATTTAAATAGATATTATCTCGAAAATATAATTTTTTCCCATTTAGTGAGTTAGTTTCTATAATTTCTTTATCCTCGTGGTAATAGTATAAAGTTAGTGATACTGAGCTCTATAACCAAAGAAAACACGACTATTGTCTCATGTGTAAACGAAAAGAGAGTGTGGGTCGTTCATGTAACAGAGTGCGTAAAATTATAAGATTATCTGCTTGATAAAGTTATCGGTTTAGATGAATACCACTAGTGTATTTAACATCAAGTTTCGTCAAACGTCATTTGCTAAAGGAAAGAGCGATACTGGTCGCACCTTCCGTACGGAATCAGCTGTTTGTACTCGTACGTGTATATGTGCATATGTAACGCATGCAGTGTTGCCGCATTGGTAATTTTTTTTACCGAAATTGGTAATTTTTTTCTTTATTTATCATGTTTGGTACTTTGGTGACTTATTTTTCAACTTGGTAAATTTTTCGATTCAGTCCTACATATAACATAGGTCAAAAGAAGTTCTGGTTCCACATTAGGAAGTGGGCTGCAAGAGTTTCCTTTTACAGAAACACCAGGTTATCCTGAAAGTTTCGAAGGCGAACAGTTCTTCGGCGTTCCTAGGTTACTATAATTGTGTGATCTACAACAAACTTCTTGATAGTGGCTATTGTTCCTTCTAATTAAATGTGGCAACACTGGGCACATGTAAGTAAAATGTAGCCACCTAAAAGTTTACACTACGTTGCTTATGCATTTGACAGACTTATCGTTCATTTTCTGACAGTCAGTTACGGCAGCTTATTCATATTATAGTCAGCCCTTTAGCTTCAGACCAGCGCCAGCTATCCTCTGGAAAACTTTTTACAAATTATTTAGGTGTCNAGTTCTCCCCGAGTTACGCAGTAGTTCCTATCTGGTTTTCCAATCGACCGGCTAGAGTAGGCAACTACCTACTCCTGCCCATCAAATACCTGGGACAGTGGGCCTCCTATGGCATAACTACTAGCATCCGTATCCAAAATAAATGTTGCACCTAGAACGGGATACCCTAGCATAGGTGCAGT